CTAAAAGGAATGAACTGGACTATGTTTTGGACTACGCCAAAGTTGACGTTAGATGACCAGAAATTTCACGACTATGAGGCTGTATGCCGCGGTATCGAGCCGTCGTGGGCGGATAAGAAGCATATAGTCGACTAGCAGGGAAACAAAAAAACGAAATCATCAAATCTACTAAAGCGAGTCATGAATAAGACATTATGTGCATTTGTATGAAGATGAATGACACATCATCATCTTTTTTTCTAAAGAAAGGTATCGATATGAAAATTTATTCGTATTTTAGCTTTACGTGAGGCTAGGTACAATTTCCTTCATTTTCTACAATAGCGGCGAGCTTTGCCTGTTCCTATTTCTACCTATGGCGTCATCTATCTAGTTGGTCTCGTGACGACTACTCAAGACTGCATGGACGGTAGGTACAGAGAAATTTTCTAGGCAAGAAGAGGACAACACGTGTCGTTTCCATCTACCTATGTGATATCTTCCTTGGTATCGAATAATTGTTACGAGCGCAAACAGGAAACTCAAGGCTGATAGGTCCAGTCAGCGCGTGGCATCGCCTAGTTTCCCTGACGGCGGGGCGGTCAGAAGGGGAAGAAAAATGACACAGATGACCCCACCATGAATCGGGAAGCGGTTACTGACTGATAGGCAGCGATAACGACGTGATGGCGGGGTGATAAAGAGACTGGCGGGGGGTGTTCCTAGTCTCGTCATCGCCTATCTATCATGTCGTACAGCACCCAGTGCCTGCAGAACTTACTAGTAGATCATGTAGGTAGCGGGTACGGAACAGGAATTTGAATGGGAAAAGAATGAAGTGTACAATAGCAATGGCTGCCTTAAAAGTGTGGCAATAAAGGAGAGTCAGACACGATTTGGCGACGCATAATCACTATTCTTCTATGGGTAGGCATTAATTATCATAGTACGTACCCGATGCATGGGTTTTATTAGATGAACGAGGCTGTTCATGATTCCTACTGGTAGATAGATAGACATGTACATGCGTAGGTATGTAGGTTAGGTAGGTTGCCTAGATTTGTAGAAGAGGGTCGGTCCGCATGCGTTGAAAATGTTTTGGATTTTTTCCCGCCCTTTTTTTTTTAGACCAAGGCGCTGGGCTGGGCGTTGTTGCTTGAAGCCTCTAGAAGTTTCGTACCTGTTATAGTACGCCCCGCCATTGGGGGTGTGGCTAAGGAGGGGTAACCCGGGTGAGGCTAGCCTACACCAAAATTCGACCACAGGACAGGCCGTCCCTCCCTCCTCCCACCTTATTAGGTACCTCAGTCTATACCTGTCGTGCGCATTTGGGCAGCTTTTTTTTTTCTCCTCCTTCCAGATTTCCAAAGAATCGCTCTTCTATCGACTAGATCATCCAGAGTTCTTGCAGACGCCTGGTTTCACACAGCACTCCCGAACCTACCGACCTACCGACTTATACCCTCACCGCCCAAGACACAAGTCCTGTGCCTCCTCCTGACTTGCTCTGTTTGTTGATACCATCATCTTCTCGTCTCCAAAGCCTACCCACGCCAATTCTCTGCAAAACTTAAACTTCATTCCACAAAGCCACTCTTAGTTGACGAAATTTCCTTAGCCAAGATGAGCGTCGTTGGTATGTCACCCCGTCTGGCTACTCTTACGCGCATTCTTTGGTTGTCTTCGGCCTACTAATACCTGTGTTTACTCTAGGTGTCGATTTCGGAACGCTCAACACAGTCATTGCTGTAGCGAGGAATCGAGGTGTCGATGTTGTACGTAATACCTCTGCCCCTTTGCTCTTCCTTCCTCCCTTGTCTGTTCTACACTGTTTGTTACCGTGTTCATAAGGCTGACAGATCACCTGGTTGATTAGATTACCAATGAAGTTTCCAACCGTGCGACACCGTAAGTACCACACCGTCTAGCCGACGATAGTTGTTTGTTTTCAACTAACACCGCCCCTAGCTCCCTCGTAGGATTCGGCCCCAAGTCCCGTTACCTTGGTGAGCCCGCGAAGACACAAGAAATCTCCAACCTCAAGAACACCGTCGGCTCCCTAAAACGTCTGGCCGGGCGCGCTCTCAAAGACCCGGAGGTCCAGATCGAGCAGCAATATGTCTCGGCCGCCCTCGTAGACTGCAATGGCCAGGTTGGCGCCGAGGTCTCATACCAGGGGAAGAAGGAGAAGTTCTCTGCCACACAGCTTGTTGCTATGTTCCTGAGCAAGATCAAGCAGACTGCTGCTACTGAGCTCAAACTACCAGTGGCTGACGTTGTTTTGAGCGTGCCCCCTTGGTTCACCGACGTCCAGCGACGAAGCATCCTCGACGCTGCCGAGATCGCTGGTCTCAAGCCGCTTCGGATTATGAATGATACCACCGCCGCCGCCTTGGGCTACGGTATCACGAAGCTTGATTTGCCCGCCGAAGACCAGAAGCCGCGCCGCGTCGTCTTCATTGACATCGGCCACAGCAACTACTCCGCCTCCGTCGTCGAGTTCAAGAAGGGCGAGCTGACGGTCAAGTCTACCGCCTTCGACCGCCACTTTGGCGGTCGTGATTTCAACTTGGCCCTGCTCAACCACTTCCAGAAGGAGTTCAAGGGCAAATACCGCATCGACATTTCGACCAACCCCAAGGCCATGGCCCGTGTCGAGGCCGCCGCCGAGAAGATGAAGAAGATTCTGTCCGCCAACCAGCAGGCTCCTCTAAACATTGAGTCTCTTATGAATGATATTGACGTAAACGCCATGGTCACGCGGCAGGAATTCGAGGCCCTTGTTGAGCCACTTCTAAACAAGGTCGTAGCGCCACTGGAGCAAGCGCTTGCCGATGCTAAGCTGACCAAGGATGATATCGACTACATTGAGCTAGTTGGTGGCAGCACTCGTGTGCCAGCTATTAAAGAGAGAATCCAGGCCTTTTTCGGCAAGGGCTTGTCCTTCACCCTCAACCAGGATGAGGCCATAGCTCGTGGTTGCGCTTTCGCCTGCGCTATCCTATCGCCCGTATTCAAGGTCCGCGATTTCTCGGTTTCAGACATTGTCCACTACCCGATCGAATTCTCGTGGGAGAAGGATGTGGATATCCCCGATGAGGATACAAGCTTGACTGTCTTTAACAGAGGCAATGTCCTGCCCTCCACTAAGATCCTAACCTTTTACCGAAAGCAGCCTTTTGATCTAGAGGCACGATACTCCAAACCCGAGGATCTTCCTGGCAAAATCTCTCCGTTCATTGGCCGCTTCTCGGTCAAGGGAGTGAAGGCTGATCCTAAGACCGAATTTATGATCTGTAAACTCAAGGCTAGGGTTAACATTCATGGTATACTGAACGTAGAGAGCGGTTATTATGTCGAAGACCAAGAAGTTGAGGAGGAGATCAAGGAGGAGAAGAAGGATGACGGCGAGAAGAAAGACCCAGATGTGAGTTTCGCCTCCCGACGAGTTACTCTAGACACTCTAAAATAGCAGTTACTGACATACTTCCCCCTTAGGCTATGGACACGGATGACAAGAAGGAGGAGGGTAAGCCTAAGACGCGAAAGGTGAAGAAGCAGGTGCGCAAGGGCGATCTCCCTATTGTCGCTGGAACTACTTCTCTCGACCCCAACGTAAAGAACAGCCTAGTAGAGAAGGAGGCAGCCATGATTATGGAAGACAAGCTAGTAGCCGACACGGAAGAGAAGAAGAACGAGCTTGAGACCTATATCTACGACATGCGGAACAAGCTCGATGACCAGTTTGCCGACTTCGCAAGTGACGAAGAGAAGGACAAACTGAGATCCAAGCTTACCGAAAGCGAGGTAAGCTCTCTCGTACTCCCCACATCACGAACACAACGAGACTAATAATTTCTAGGATTGGTTGTACGAGGAGGGTGAGGACACCACCAAGGCTGTTTACATCGCCAAGATAGACGAGATCCGTGCTATGGCTGGTCCTATTAGCCAGAGATACTTCGATAAGGTGGAGAGCGACCGCCAAGCGGTGCAGGCCAAGCTTGACGCCGAAGCAGCAGCAAAGAAGGCGGCCGAGGAGGAGGCCCGTAAAGCAGCTGAGCCGGAGAAGACTGAGGGTAAAGACGAGGAGATGACGGACGCTGAACCCGCTAAGCCCGAGGTTGAGGAGGCCGAGTCTTAGGTGTATCTGCCCTGACCACGATTTGTGGATTGCGTTGTTAACAAAGGAAGGTGGTATAAGAATATGCTACCGCCGACGAGAATCAAAAAGTAATGACTACAAGGGAGCTGGCCGGGATTGGATGGTTCAATGATGGTTTGGGGGGATTCACCTGATCCTGACCGGATATTGCGGTGTTAGAGATAGACTACTCCCGCTCAATTAGCACACGACACGAGGCCGGTTGTAGACTTGAGATAGACCTTATCCGGAAATGGATATGTTCATGATTTCAGTGGTCTTTCTCTTAGTCAACTCTGTGATATTTGGTCTACTCGGTGAAATTTGAAATGGCTAGCAAAGACAATTTACTAGGTTGTTACAGTTGTATTGTCGCTGAGATGATATACTAATATAAACATTAGTACCGAGTTTATAAAGCTTTTAGCTAATAGTAGTAACAGCTAACGCTATGTAGTTGTTGCAAGTTTACGATTTATTATTAAGAAGCTTTCCTATGATTATACAAGGAGTAGAGCGAGTTCATCAACAACAAAAGAAAGCATTCTGCTATACAAACGAAGCCAATCCCTTTTAATTATAGCGTAGTATTACACACAAAAACATTGGCTATCCACCCGAACGAACAATATGCAGCGAACACAGACCAGCCAGTCAATCCACCGTCACAGCCCGTCCCCCTCCCTCTTTTCAACCTATCCACCCCACCCCGCCCCTCATTCATAGTCCCTCCGAAGAACCCCGGTCTTCATCAAAGCATCAAGCGATGGCCTCGTGGCCTAATGGCTAGGGCGCTAGATTTCGGTGTCACATTCTGATCCTCTAGAGATTGTCGGTTCGAGTCCGGCCGAGGTCGCTGATAATGCAAACGTTCTTTTCCGAATTGGTGTAGTGGCTAACATTTGACGCTCTCATCTCCCTGTTTCTCATCTGGAATAGGTTGTTGCTAGTGCCGTCAAGCCCGGGGTTCGATTCCCCGATTCGGAGTTATTTTTTTTCTCTATGAGTGCGGATTATCTTATGTTTAGATAAACTAATTAGTTAGCTTGATATTTTTTACCTCGGCTTACTGAATGTTTATTGTTAGATATTACAGATTTTGTTGTAAAGTGTTTTAAATGGTAATGTGGGAGGTGTTTCTAGAGCTGTTGTTCTAAGGCCCAGGTTAAGATAAAGGGGTGGGAATTAAAGTCATGTCGAGGCGTTGTTTGTGCCTCCCGAGAGAAACATACGCATTTCTGCCCTGGCTATGGCGGTAGCGTAGTGTTCGCTGATAATAGGGACTGGAGCTGCATGCTTCAGAAGCATCTCCTAATTTAGGTAAACTTTGAAAACCTAGTCAGACCTCGTGGGGTAAGCTTCCGCTTATTTAAGTGCTCTAGTAACATGCTTAGTTGCTATGATTGCTAGATGGTAGTAGGTAGGTAAGAAGTACCTGGAGCAATTTTGTACGTGGCCTGTCTTTTTTAAACACTGTACTTTGTGTGGCTAGGCAGGTATAAAGATACTTTTGCTTACTATCTTACCATGCTGAAGTATATGTAGATATTGCTACTCATCACATGTTTAAATAAAGTCTTGTACTTTATTCCTTGATTAAGTTGTTCTACCTGCTTCGCATTTGCACCTAGAAACTACCAAACTCATTTATTCCCTTTAAACCTTGTATCAATAGGTTTTTGTGATAGTCTTAGATACATTGTTGAGTTTAAAGGTATTTCACCTTTAACCATGTTCTCTTGAGGCTGCAGAGTTCCTTCAACTTAAAAGTTAGCTTTTGCACGACGTTATGCTGATAAACAAAAGGCACATTGGCTCCGCCTGCTGGACCGTTTGAGCGCTAAAAGCCAATATTTCTCTATAACCCCTAGAAAAGTTATATATAAGCGAACACTCGGACGCTTAATGCATTGGATATGCTTTTACGGTTGACTCTAAATGTGCATACTGCTGTGATATCAAGGGTGATTCTGAACCGACCTGTAGCTATAGCTGGCAGGACTTTAAGCAAGCATGTGCTCAAGCCTGACACCGATGCCTCCCAGCCACCCTCTCAATGCTTCAGATTATTGTGAGTGCTGTAAGTTTGACTCTCTAGGTACGTAAGTGTCTATGGCGCACGGGTACCCAAAACTTAAATGATATTTGATGCATTGGGGCTTATCGATAATTAATAGATAAGAAATTCTGTCCCGTTTCTCGCTTAACTACTTATCGAGTTTAAACAGTTGTTGTTTCCAAAATTATTATTTAAGTGTGCAACTCCCCGCAGGGCAGCGTCATAGGTCAACCAGCTGTAGCCGCCTCGACTCTTGGCTCTCCCATTCATGAATTTCATCCCACATCCACCACACCAACTCCACTACCACCCACATACTGGGCAGACCCTACCCAATAACAAATAACTAACCCTCTCTACATCCAGTAGGAAAGCTGGAGTCATTATTTCTTTCTCTCTCTCTACATACAATATCCGTAGTCTCTTTTGCCTTCGGAGATAAGCAGAAGGAGCGGGCGATGTCTTGGGACTTTTCCGGGACATGACTCTACCTAGACTACATCTTCTTTTCCTGTCCTTAATCCCTTAATCCTCCTAGTCTCGGTCCTCTAAACATCGCATCCTTCACCCCACCTCGCCTCGCCATCTTCTGCCAGGCTTCTCCTGCTTGCAGACCCCTCAACTACCGCCCGACCGAAGACCCTTTCTTTTTGCGTTCATTTAACCGTATTGTATCCCACCGTGTAACAACGCTCCATAGCATTGTCGACAGTATCGGCCCATCCGTCCGCACATCACCCATCGCACGATCACGATGGCACCTAAAAAGAAGGGAGGGAAGAAGGCAGCCGACGATTGGGAAGCCGAACTTGGCGAATCCGTTGCGCCGACAAATGGCGACGCCGCCACCGCCGCCGAGACCCCGGAAGAACAAGAAGACGGTGGCGATGCCCCCGTCGGTGGCCTCATGGCTTTGAGGATGAAGAAACTCGAGAAGCGCAAGAAGAAGGGCTTGTCCGAGAACTTCGTCGACGGCGAATCGGCGCAACCCGCCACCCCCGAGCCCACCGACATTAGCGCCTTCAAACCGCCCCAAGAGGCATCGGCTGAAGACGAGTTTGCTCTCCCCGAAAAGAAGGGAAAAGGGGGGAAGCAGAACAAGAACCAGCCCGCCGCCAAAGCCCCTGCCGCAGCTGCCGATGGAGATGATGTTGGTGAGTCCGGTAAAGTGCTCACCAAAGCCGAAAAGGAGAGGTTAAAAAAAGAGAGAGAGAAGCAGAGGAAAAAGGAACAGGTTAGTACCATCACCTATTCTGATTGACTTCAACCCTAATGCTTACTATCGCATCTAGGCTGCTAAGAAGAAGACCGCCGCACCCGCACCGGCTGCAAAAGCAGCAGAGCCTGCTAAACCCGCCCCCGAAGAGAAGGAGACTCCGGTTCCGACACCCGCAGCGGAGGCACCAGCTAAGAAGGGTAAAAAGCTACCGCCACACCTAGCTGCTCTCCAGAAACAGCAAGAGGAATTAAAGCGGCAACGTGAAGAAGCCGAGAAAGTCGCCTCACTCGAAAAGGCCCGCATCGAAGAGCTAGAAAAACAAGAAGCTGAAGAGCAGAAACGAAAGGAAGAAGAAAAGGCTCGTAAAAAGCAAAAGGAGAAGGAGAGGATCGAACAGCTCAAGAAAGAAGGAAAATATCTGACCAAGGCTCAAAGGGAAGAGAAGGCTCGCAATGAGAGGAAATTGCAGCAAATGATTGCTGCTGGCCTCCAGGTTGGACCTTCAGAAGACGGCGAGGATAAGAAGAAGAAGGTGACCTACGACAGCAAAAAGCGCGGCAAGAAAAACGACCAAAAGGTTGCATCCCTTTTTTGTATTGTATTTTTGTGGTTTCTTTTACTGACTCCTGGTAGGTTGATGAAGAGAAAGCTCTAGCCGAGGCCGCTGAGCGAGCGAGACAGCAAGCCGAAGCCGCAGCGAAGGAAGCCGAGGCAAAGGCTGCCAAAGAAGCTGCTGAGCGGGCAGCTGCTGAAGAAGCGGCCAAGAAGGCTCAGGCAGAGGAGGAGATCGAGGAAGACTGGGAGGCAGCCGCAGCGTCCGGGGACGATGTCAAAGATAGCTGGGACGCCGAGTCGGAAGATGAGGCTGAAAAGAAATCTGCTACAAAGGAGACCGCGGCAGCCTCATCTTCAAAACCTAGGGCTGGAGAGTCGGAGTCGGAGTCTGAATCAGAAGAGGAGTCTTCCGAGGACGAAGAGACGACGGCTGCTCGAGCTGCTGTAGCCCAACGGAAAAAGGAGGCTGCCGAGCGGAGAGAAAAGGCACACCAGGCCGCCCTGGCTGCGAGATCGAAAGAAAACCTTCGCAGCCCTATCTGCTGTATCTTGGGTCACGTCGATACCGGAAAGACAAAACTGCTGGACAAAATCCGTCAGACAAACGTCCAGGAAGGAGAAGCAGGTGGTATCACACAGCAGATTGGTGCTACATACTTCCCAGGTTTGCTCCAACGCCTTTCCTACGTTTGAGAGCTCAGATACTAACTGATTTCCTCTAGGCGAGGCTATCAAACAAAAGACTGCGGTTGTGAACCAGGATGGGAAGTTCGATTTGAAGGTTCCAGGTCTTTTGATTATTGATACGCCTGGTCACGAATCTTTCTCGAATTTGCGTTCTCGAGGTTCTTCGCTTTGCAACATTGCTATTCTAGTTGTCGATATCATGCACGGTCTCGAGCCTCAGACCCTCGAGTCGATGAAGCTGCTTCGTGACCGCAAGACGCCCTTCATTGTAGCACTAAACAAGATCGATCGTCTCTATGGCTGGAAGAAAGTGGACAACAATGGGTTCCAGGAGAGTTTAGCTCTACAGAACCGAGGTGTCCAGAACGAATTCAAGAACCGACTAGAGCAGACAAAGCTTGCTTTTGCTGAACAGGGTTTTAATGCTGAGCTTTTCTACGAGAACAAGTCGATGGCTCGATACGTTTCATTGGTTCCCACTTCCGCCCATACAGGAGAGGGTATTCCAGACATGTTAAAGCTCATTGTACAGTTGACACAGGAAAGAATGGTTGGCTCGCTCATGTATCTCTCAGAAGTGCAAGCTACCGTCCTCGAAGTCAAAGCAATCGAGGGTTTCGGTATGACTATCGACGTCATCCTATCTAACGGTATTCTTCGCGAAGGCGATCGGATAGTTGTGTGCGGTGTCGAAGGAGCCATCACTACGAATATCCGAGCACTGCTCACTCCGGCCATCATGAAGGAGTTGCGTGTCAAGTCTCAATATGTACACAACAAAGAGGTGAAGGCAGCTATGGGTGTCAAGATTAGTGCACCTGGTCTTGAAGGCGCTATTGCCGGTTCTCGGTTGCTCGTGGTTGGTCCAGATGACGATGAGGAAGACCTCGAAGAAGAAGTCGAGGCGGATTTGAACAAGCTGTTTAGTCGTGTCTCTACAAGTGGACGAGGTGTCAGTGTGCAGGCGTCGACTTTGGGTTCGCTGGAAGCCCTTCTCGATTTCTTGAAGGATTGCAAGATTCCTGTGGCTAACGTTGGTATCGGCCCTGTGTTCAAGCGTGATGTGATGCAGTGTGGTACGATGCTGGAGAAGAGTCCCGACTACGCTGTCATGCTCTGTTTCGATGTCAAGGTAGACAAAGAAGCCCAGGCCTATGCCGATGAGAACGGCATCAAGATCTTCACGGCCGACATCATTTATCACTTGTTTGACTCCTTTACAAAGCACATGGAAGAACAGCTCGAGAAGAAGAAGGAGGAGTCGAAGCTTCTCGCTGTCTTCCCCTGTGTACTCAACACGGTGGCTGTTTTCAACAAGACTAACCCCATCGTTGTTGGTGTTGACGTGGTAGATGGTAATCTCAGAGTCGGCACTCCGATAGCGGCTGTAAAACAGAATCCCACAACGGGTGCCAAGGAAGTTATCAGCTTAGGCCGAGTGTAAGTTCACCATCACGTTAGTTAAAG